AGGGAAGACAGGAGGGCATTTTAAATGAACTTAATGTAGATATGAAAAAACTACTTAAGGAAATTAGTTTTATTCCACTTCATGGTCATGTTAGGTTTTATAGACTCCTACTAATATGGAGGGAGAAAGGCACGTGTTGGAATATAACAGAATTTCAAAGGTTTGGATTTCTTTGGGGCAGCAAACTAGGTCCATTCAGTCAGTTCTGATGGTAAATCTAAATCATGACTTGCCTTTGCTGTGAGACCTTGCAGGGGTCTTAGCACAACTACAAAAATGTCTAGTCTGTCATGTCTCTCAGGGATAACATGGGTCGTTGTAGGCATCATCTTCCTCATCACTCTGTTAGCGGGACTACTCTGGGTTGTTAAGTTATCCTTTGAGGTACTCATCTACTAACAGAATTGGCTCTTCCACAGAGCAAATCTCTGAGGTAGGGCATGTAACCCCCCAACACCTAAAGACAAAAAAAAATGTGTGAATCTACTTTTCAGTAGGGATCATTTCATTTGAAGAACATTACATTCAGGGATCAGGATGCCAAAGACCTGTTTGTACATACAGACTAAAATAGTATTTTTGTAAGAGAGATTATGTATTGTAATGCAGATTAACTTTTGATCACCAAGTTTGAGATCCTTCTTTCTGTCAGACTCATTTATGCATGCGTGAGAGACAGCGTGCTTATGAATTCCTCAAGGAAAACAGGGGAAATGTAGTTAAAGAAAAAGGAAACATATGTGGAACATACTTGTCCGAATTAGAACTAGACAACCACCTTGGTTTAACACCACCACCAGTGTGTCCCTGTTTCATAATTCGCAGTGACCTTCATTCAAGCTCCTTGCTTGACTGAGCCCAATACTGACTCAGAAGAGTGTCAGCCCGTGAATCACTAATGTGATTTCCAGATGTACGCAGGGCTCTTTGCTTTTACCTGCAGGAGTTGTGCATAGCAAAAGTCTGATTTGCTCAGAATGGGACAGTTAATACACAAAAATGTAAGTGCTCAGGTGAACAGTAAGATTACACTGGACGCAGTTCAGGGCAGCAGTGAAGCGCGAAGGTTTAAAAGAAACAGTCTTCAACGCTAGTACTGTGATAACATCCACACATTTACTGAGAAGTAACTTATGTTGCCGGCAGAGCTGAGATGCCGGGGGGGTGGGTAGCTGAAGCGGCAGCGGGCTTCAATAACCGGGACACCCTCCCCGAAATTAAGACACCTTTTTGGCACTCCGGGTGAGCACCAGGCGGGCAGGCGGCTCCCAAGCTCCCCTCAGCCCGCTGCTCCCCTCAG